CCCGCGGCCGCCGCCGAGCCACCCTGCAGGTGGAGCCGCCGCCTTAGCAGAGGCCGCACCGCCGTGCTCTGGCCCTCGCGGTGGGCATCTTTGGTGCCTGGGTGCGCCTCGGGGAAGGGAGGAAGGAGAGGGCCAGCTTGAGAAGAGGGTACCTTGGGTGCCCAGGTGCTCCGATAGTGGAAGAGATGGGCAACCGGCGGGAGGCCCAGAAAGGGGGAAGAGGCGGGCAGAAGGCAGTGACCGAAGGGACTAGGCTGTGGGGGGCAGCTGGCAGGGGCGCACCTGGAGAATAGGAGACTTGGGGGGTAAGGGGGAAGAACAGTGGGCCCCCTCATTAGTAGAAGAAGATGGGTAGGGTGAGTTCTGCCCCGCCCCCCCGCCACGAGTGCAAAGCTGGGTCCCTATGTAGAAGCTGGAGGGGGGGCGTCAGCACCGTGCAGACAGAACTCTGGACGAAATGGCTGCAGATGAGGTGATCTCCCCCAGGCAGAGCTCCAGGATCTCCCATCATGCCCACCCCTCGACTTACGGGTGAGATAAAGTTAGAGAAACACAGCGCTGGGTACATCCAAAGCCAGGCTAGAAGTGCACGTCGCACGTCCCACGTCCCTCCCTTCCAAGCCCAGGGCTTCTGCCAAGCAGGAACCAGCCTTTCTTCCTCCCCCCTCCTTTGCTTGTCCCTCCCTTGTTCTGCCCCTGCTTCCTTCCTTTAGTCATGAGTGTACACCCTGCATGGTACACAGTGCCTGGCACACAGCGGGCCCTCAAAAAATATTTGCAGCCTCTTTGGTCAAGCTGTCACCTCCTCCAAGATGACCCCTTACCTGATGAATCTCATGACCCGGCCGGAGCAAAGGCCCCATAGCAGGCTTCAGAGGTGGTGGTGAAGGACTCTCAGGCCTTCCCAAGGGCTCTGCAAAACCTGCTTGGGAAGGGGGCAGAGGAAGGCTGGAGCTTGCCTTGGGCTGGGTAAGGGCAGGGGCGTCACAGAGGCTACAGGGGCTTTTGGATCCAGAATGTCAGCGGGGCTCCTCTGTTCCGCAATTCTGTAACGCTCTCCACCACTCTGGGCTGGTTTCTGTGGGACTCCAGGCAGCTCCCCAAACTGCAGCGGAGGCAGGAGAGTCCGGAAGGTGTCCGGCAAGGAAGGTGGGGTTGTGGGAAAGACTGGGGAAGGCGATGTGGGTGCCCCCTCAGGTGTCTCACTGGGGAGTGGGAGGGAGTTTTTGCAGCCAGAGCTGTGTTTCATTCCATAGAAATGCCTAGAATGGACCTACAAGGAGGTGAAAGCCCCCGCCCGCCAGCCCTGCCAGCCCCTGCAGGGGGAGGCTTGGGGGCTCTGCCAGCACCTGCTTGCTGAGTAGCCCAGGACAAGTGCCCTGACCTATCCCAGACTCAGCCCTTTCCCTGGGGAACAAGCCAACAATGCCCAGGGGTGCAGATTCCATTCAAGGACAGGTAAATGCAAGGGCCCACAGGATGTGCTTGTTGGGCATCACTTTCTACCTCATAGGAAGGTGACTGGCACGCTCTCCTCTCTCTCTCACCTGGACTGCTCACATCCCCACACCTCACATCCTAGACCGATCAGCCCACTGCATCCATACCCTCCCCGCCTCTCTAGCTCAGAACAAAATGGCTCGGCCTTAGACACTGAGAGACAGGCTGGGTCCAACTCCTGACAGTGAGGGAGGCCACGGCAAGACAACCTCATCCCTAAAATGGGCGTGATGGCAGGCATGGCCTCACGTGCTCGGCAGGGCCTGGCCTCTGCAAAGGTGTATTGGTACCATCGTGATCTTGGGGAGATCGCCTCACCCATCCTCCGCATCTGTCAGTTCTGCCAAATACCACACCAAGCCGGCATCAACCTCACCTGCCAGATGCCCCAGACCACAGTAAAAACAGCCCCACACTGGCACAGCGCAGCCCTCCATCCCCTTCTTTCTTCAGTTTCTGAGCTGGGCCAGAGACCCCTGAGCAGTGTCCTCCAATCCCTCTGGACTGTCTCCTCCATTCTTCTCAACACCCACCCCAATCAGAGCCAAGACCCCTTCCTCAACCCCTTGCCCACAGCCACTCAGCCACGCAGTCGCTGCTTCCTCATCTGTCTCTGCACACATCCCTGCCCTCAACCATGGGAGCCTAAGATCCGGATCCTGCCCCCTCCAGCCTCTCTCTGTGTGGACTCCTCCTGTCCTTTCCTTCATTCATAAGGAATGTTTATTGAGCACCTACTACATGCAGGCATGTTTCCAGCACTGGAGTAGAGTGGAAAACAGATAAACTCCCCGTGCCCATGGCATTGACCTCCGAGGGGGGCGAGATGGACAACATAAAGTGAGCATGTGTTGTGTGGGTCATAATGGGTGAAGAAGAGAAAGTAGGGTGTACCCCCCTGGTGGGGGGGGTGTCTATTTCATACAGGCAAGTGGAGAGGACCTCTTTGACAAGGTGTAATTTGTTGGCATCACTCCAGATGCTTCCTGCAGCATAAGTCTGCTTGAGTCTCTTTCACATTAAAAACTGTCCCCACTCCATGTCCCTTCCAGCTGCCAGCACATTGCTCTTCTCCCCTTAATAACCAAAGTGGCAAAATGACACATCTCGTGTGCCGTCTCCTCTGTCTCTTTTCCTAGCTGCCTGCCAGAGCCTCCAACCTGGCTTCTCCCCACCATCCCACCCCTCCTCCTAAAATAGGAAACTCTGGTCTCACCAGGGGCGAGAATGACTTTCCTGTTCCTGGAATCAGCAGACGCGTCGCCGGCCCCCTCTTAGCTGGCCTTTCAGCAGCTTCCACCCTGAAAGCCACCCCACCCCTCTGCGAACGCTTCTCAGCTGCTGTACAAATTCCACTCCTTCCGATGGCCGTAGCTGTGGTGTGTCTCCCTATATTTCTGTTTCCCCCAATGTGTTTTAATTGACAGACAGTACAAGCACAGAAAAGGGCACTGTGGACTGAATTGTACTCCCCAAATGCATATGTTGAAGCCTTAACCCTCAATGTGTGTGGAGCGTTTGGGAGGTGATCAGTGTTAGATGAGGTCATGAGGGTGGGGTCTTCATGGTGGGATTAGTGCCCTCATAGGAAGAGACCAGAGAGCCTGCTCTCTCTCCACGAGGTCATGTGAGCACACAGCAAGGAAGCGGCCACCTGCAAACCAGGAAGAAAACCATCACCAGGAACTGACTTGGCCAGAATCTTGATCTTGGACTTCCAGGGATCTAGAACTGTGAGAAAGTCAATTTGTGTTGTTTAACTACCTAGTCTACAGTATTTTGTTATGGCGGCCCAAGCAGACTAATACATGCACAAAAGTTTAATGTTCAGCCCAAAGAACTATCACAGAATAAACAATTATATAACTGCCACTTAAGTCAGGAAAGAGGGCACTGCCAACCTCTCAAACTCTCCCTCACTACCTACTCTCTCTACTTATTACAGACTGAATGTGACACCCAGAATTCATGTGTTGAAGTCCTAATCCCCAGCATGATGGTTTTTGGAGGAGGGGTCTTTGGGAGGTGAGTAGGTCATGAGGAGCCCTTGTGATTAGGACTAGTGCCCTTACAAGACAAGACACGCGAGAACTTGCTTCCCCACCCCCCATCCTGTGTCTCTCATGTGAGGATGCAGGAAGAAGACGGCTGTCTGCAAATCAGGAAGTGAGCCCTCATCAGACACCAGATCTGCTGGCGCTTTGATCTTGGACATCACGGCCTCCAGAACTGTGAGAAATAAATGACTCTGGTCTATGACATCCAGTCTACAGTATTTTTGTTAAGCAGCCCAAACTGACGAAGACATCATCCCGAAGATAGGCCCCATCTTGACTTCTAACACTGTAGTCTTACTAACTTAGAGACTTTCTGTAAACAGAATCATAAGGTAGGAATGTTTTTGTATCTGCTTTCTTTTGCTCAACATTATGTTTCTGAGATTCACTCATGTTATCATACATATATGTAGCTGTAATTTATTCATTTTCATTGTTGTATATTTCATTGTAGAAACACTGCAATTTACCTTACTGCTGGTGGACACTTACACGGTGTTTTCAGTTAGGAGGCTGCTGTGAATAACGCTCCTCTGTCTCAGCATCCACTTGGATGTAGTTCCAGGAACTGCTGAGTGATCGGGCCTGTGTATGTTTAGCTTTAGTAACGGATGTCAAACAGTTTACCGAAGAGGTACTAGAAGAGAGTTTCTGTTGCTCCAGAACCTCCTTGTCTTGTCATTTCCCTGGAGAAAAGAGTCATCATGCACTGTTTCGGCCAGCCTCTACGAGCTAAGACAGATGGCTCACAGTGGTGGAACAAGCCAAGAAATCCACCTGGAAGCTCAGCCCTGGGACCTGGGTGGTCACAGAGGGTATTGTCATTGTCGTTTGTGATTTTAGCCATTCGCCACCTCTAGCACTGAACTCAGCATCCTCCCTGGAAACTGGGCCTGGGGGTCCCCCTCTCATCAGCCCTCAGGACAGACAGGCACCTCCCCAACTCCCTTGCCCTCACACCACCACAGCCTGGCCACCTGCCAGTCCTGGCGACCCACGCCCACGCAGTGCTGTCATACCCTTCCCCTCCTTGAGCAAGCCTCCTCACCCCACTGATTCAGGGGCTCACCCCTCCCTCACGTGGCCCATGTTCCCTTCCCTGGTTCACATGTTTCCAGGCTCTCTGCCTCCACCTGCTATCATCCG